TGCGGTGGACGAGAGACTGAGCGTGACCCGTCCTCTGCTGGACCCGGTGCGGGAACCCCCGATGCCGATAATTGACACGGAGGATCGAGATCGGGGTAGTCGCAGGCGCTGCACGAGCGCTTCGGAGATCAGAGAGACCTCTGATCCTTGGTCGATCAGGGCTCTGATCGCATGCGGTATTCCGTGGCGGTCGGCGACGTTCACCCTCGCGGTCGCGAGGAGAATCGCCTTGGTTTCGTCGTCCTGACGCACTGCGGAGAGAGCGTTGGCTTCGGAGACAGTCTGCGGGGTGTAAGCCTCGTGGAGCATCGAGTGATGCCGAGCCTTACAAGACACGCACGTTTTCGCGGATTGACACTTCGCGAACTGGTGCGAGCCGAGGCAATTGAAGCAAAGTCTGTGCGTTTCCGCGACGGTTTTACGTTCGATCGCGGATTTCGCCTTAAATTCGTCGCACATCATGACATGGTGCTTGCCCTTGCACAAGACACACTGCGATGAGGCGATGGACCGTTTAGGGAGATGGGACTTCGCGGATCGCGGCGGGTCTCCAGAGACCTTGGCGGTAGTCGCCTTCGCGACTTTGAGAGTGAGAGCTCGTCGCGAAATAAACTTCACTAGAGTCTCGTGACTTGGAACGTCGTCCGATTCGCTTGTGTAAGAGGCCCACTCGAGGCGAGTTTTCGGGTCGAAAAGCTCGGCAACGAGATGGTTCAGCAAATCGCAGCCGTGTGAAGCGATGGGTCGACCGATACCCTCTTGCCCGCTCACGACACTGGTCACGGCGTTGTATATCCGATCAAGTTCTTCGGCGGTGTCGCTTTTCATTTTGGGGGTGCTGGTGAACGCGGCGAAGTTAGAACGCGCAACTTCCCGTTTGTTCTCGTAATGTTCCTTTAACATTTTCCACGCGCGCGGATAATTGTCCCCAATCACGGCTAACGGGCGTATCAATCTTTCAGCGGCTCCGTCAAGACAGAGCTTCAGATGATGGAACCGTTCGATGTTCGAGATGGACGAGTGTTTCCCGACAATCGACAAGAAGCTGTCGCGGAAGGTAGGCCACTCTTCGAACGCACCCGAAAACGTCTTCACCTTGAGTCGAGGTAGCGCAGACACGGAGGAGACGTTACCGGACTCCTTCGGCGGAGCGGAACTTGGCTCTGGTTGGAGCCGTCTCGCGTATTCGCTGAGCACGCTTCGTTCCATCACGTAAGTGTCTTCGATTTTGTCAAAAAAATGAGTCTGGTTGTACTCACTTGAGTCGAAACCCTCTTTGTAGAGCGCTCGGATGGCCTCATGCTGTACCTCGACCTTCGCCCAAGTTTGGTCAAGGAGCTTGAGGCGTGTCTCAACGGCGTGAAGCGTGATGTTTTCTGCGCCCATCTTTTTCAAGTTCGTCACCGAGCGGGCAAGGCGACCATGAGCGTCGCTTTGCGCCGCTAACAGGGCTGTCAAGTCCATTCTCACGTTCCTTTCCTTTTCAGGCATTCACAGGCGTTGCACTACCGAGTTCGCGGTGGCCGGTGAAGGATCCGGCTCGAAGGACCAATAAT